CCTAGTTTCTCATGATAATTTTGGTGTTCAGACATTCTAGAATGACTCATATGTCCCATGCACTTTTTGCAGTACACATAACTCTCGGATGAAATCCGAAGTTTCCACATTTATTTAAAATTAGCCATTGGAAAAATATCAGTAGAAATAGTTATTATGAAATTCAAACAGTATTGATCAGTAAAATAAGAGAGATACGCAATTGTTACAGTCTAAATTTATTCAAGTCATTTTCACAAAGTCTTCACATGAATATTAAAATATCAATCATTTTTCATTTTCATACAAGTATTGTGATGGAATGGAAAATTGCTTTGAAAATATTCATTGTGACTATTAAAATTTTTTGGCAGGGATTCTTTATGACAATAATTTACATTTTTTTATTTGAATAAATTATTTTGAAGAGACTATTGTTTGGATTAGGGCGTGAGTTGTTCTAAAATAAATAAACAATGACCTTGGAAGAGTATAAAATGTAAAAAATGATTCAGCGTGTATTTCAAATTGAACATTCTATTATTCTTCTGCTATCTACCAGAAATATTCTCTATTGAATAGATCAAATTTGCATTTATTTCATCATTTAGATAATGCTTCATATGAATCAACAGTCAATGCAATTCTTCCAATAATTCCTAATTATCTCCGACATCCAGTGTTTCCCTATATTTCTTCCGAACCAAGATCTAATCTACCAAATTTATCAGCTAATGATACTCAAACAATTACACTCCTTTGTCGTGTAGCTGATGATCCATCGGAAACTGACTATGTCGAATTTGAGTTCAATAAATCACCGATAATTGGTTCATTTGAGCGACTTCAATCTAATATTTGTCATGAACTTGATATTGATCACATCGATAAATTACGTCGTTTACCTTGTGTACGCGTGCGAAATGATCGTGATGTTGAACGTTTAAAAGATAATCATATGTTAGAAGTTATTTTAATAAAACAATAATCCAGAAAAAGAAAGTCACTTCGTCATGAAACACATAACAACATGTTTAACATTTGTTCAGATTGACAATAGACATTTTGTCAATTGGCTATCCCCAATTAGAAGCGGTCGATCAACATAAGTCTATGTTTGATTGTAAACATATCTCTCAAGTCAATCTTTCATAACATCCCAAACGATCAATCATTAATGATGAGAATATTTTTGATCATTAAATCAAAATATTGAATACTATCACGATTCTTGTTTTTCTTTTTTAATTAGAATAAAATTTTCCGTTTCGTAATTCAAAAAGAGAAACATGAAAGCAAGTCCTATGCACATTAATACTTTTCGATAAACACTAAAAATGTTTGAGGAAAAAAAAAACGAGAGAAAATGTTTGCTTTGGGCTTTGCCGTGCTCGCTTCGAGCGAAATTTTTCGTTATCTAATGAGAACAACAGAAGAATCAAGATCATATAGGCATATACTTACAATAACGATAGTTGATGAGACTCTGAACATTATGAATTTAACAAGTTGAAGTCTTTGAATATTAAACATCATGTATAAAAACATATATTTCATTGTTATTATTCAATTATTTCTTTTCCCAACATCATCATCATCTGTTCGTTTCGGACATGAAGTTGGCAGTTCATCTATGGACTCTACTCATTATGATCGTCGAGTAGCGCATCAGCAATGTTCATCAAACAGTGAAACAAAGCAACTCCATCGTGCAAGTTTTTGGGTTGCCATTCGTTCCTCGTCAGCATTGACAACAAACAGTAGTAATCAAACTACTTTAATTCCATTTCGTAGACACTTAATTATTAACAACGGAGAAGATCGACTTGTAACAAGAGCTTCATCGAATAAAACTAATGTTAGTAACGCTACGAATTCGCTTGGAATCGATCAAGCAACTGTGGATTTTATTGTTGATAATCAAGTAAGAATCGAATTTTAGAATGTCAAACAAAAAATTGATTTTCTATCCAGAGAATCGAAACCGTTCTCGTGATGCAGATCATAAAATAAAAGTGCCCAGTATAATAATTTAAAGGCCTTTTTCTGTAAAGTAGACTGAAATTCTTCGGAATTTAGATTGCATTCATCATGATATTCAGTACAGCATTTAACTCAAATTTTCTCCTATAGATTCCAGGTAATTTAACAGTGTATGTTCAAGTAATCGAATGTCTCGATTGTCCGTATGAAGTCATTGCACAAGATTTATCGTCTACTCAAGTTCTCAATCTTACCTTAAATACGAAATATACATATCGTATTCGTATTGAATTAAGTAATATTTCATCGTGTCTGGAAACGCTTACTGTCTATGAACATGGTCGATACGTATTGAATGTTCAAAATTCAAATGTTCCATCAAACAATTCAAATTCAGAGTCAGGTCTTAAATGTCTTTTAACATCAAGTCGTGCAGCAAATAATATTTATACGCCATTGATTTTTGGCGTTGTTGCTCTATTGGGATTGTTCATTTTTTGTTTACTTGCACAACGAATGAAATTACGTGAATATTTAAACAATTTAACAAATCGTTGCTTTAATAATTCACCAACACAAGAATGTGCACACTCCTATGACTTACAAGCATGTCCACCCGCAACAACCATTTGCCAATCGGGACTTGATTCAGTGAATACAATAGAATGTAATGCAAACGGTTCTAAACTACCAACAATGCACAAATTATCACATATTATTGTGCCGAGATCAAAACGTTTACTTAGTCTTGACGCGTATCGTGGTTTCGGTAATTTAATCGCAGATATTTTGTATATTTGTTATTATGAAATACTTTATCTTCTAGCTTTAATTGCAATGATATTTGTGCATTACGGCGGTGGTGGCTATGCACAATTTGAACATTCGTCGTGGCATGGAGTAACATTTGCTGATATTGTTTTGCCATTATTCGTTTGGATACTAGGAGCATCATTAATATTCTCATTAAAAAATGCTCTTGATAAAGGTGTATCAAGACGAACATTACTCTTTAAAGTTATAATGCGTAGTTTGAAACTATTTGTATGTATATTTTAAGAAAAAAAAAACCAAGCACAAATATAATTTTCATTGACTAATTTAGATTATTGGTTTTATTCTCAATACACGTTTTAAAGTCGATTTAAATGATGTTCGAATACTTGGTGTATTACAACGGTTTTCCATTATTTATGGTGTTATCGGTATAATTGAAGTTCTTTGCACACGATCAAGACAATATTCGTTAACAGCAAGTTTTACTAGTAGTGGTAAACATGCACCAACAATAACAACAACAACAACAGCTAAAAGTGAAAGAGCAAAACGTGTAACAACTGTTTTTCGAGATATTTCAAATTTTCCTCTTCAATGGTTGCTGATTATCGGTTTAACTACTATTTGGGTACTGGTCGTGTATTTGGTTCCATTTGAAGATTGTCCAGCTGGTTATTTGGGTCCTGGTAAGTAACTATGATGTTAGAGTTCTATCGTAATCAATGAAAACAAAAAAAATTTGTTCTGCTGTATTTAGGTGGCTTACATGAAAATGGTAAATATGAAAATTGTACCGGTGGTATAACGGGTTATATCGATCGAATTGTTTTTACTAACGAGCATCTTTATCAGTATCCAACATGTCAACTTGTTTATGGTAGGAAAAAAAGGATTCCTGATGATTATTTTCGAAAATATAATATAATATTTATTTAGGTTGTAAACTACCATTTGATTCAGAAAATTTACTAGGAACAATTCCAGCTATATTTTTAGCTTATTTAGGTGTTCAAGCTGGGCGAATACTTGGTTTGAATAGTTTTTAGAATCTTGTTTGTATTCATGACTTCTTTTTCTCTATTTTTAGTCATGTATCAATCGGATCTTGATCGACTTATACGTTTGATTGCCTGGGGTATTTTTACAACAGCTATCGGTGTTGGGCTTACTTCAGGTACATTTATTGGTGGACCAATGCCATTAAATAAAAACTTGTGGACATTATCATTCTCGTTTTTTACTGGTAAGAAATCTTCTTTTTCATTTTCTTTAAACTTCATACTATGTTGTATTTCGTTAATTTCTTCAAGCTGGTTTGGCATTTCTTGGATTTTCAATAATGTATATACTTGTTGATAAATTAAAATATTGGAATGCAACACCGTTTCAATATCCTGGAACGAATTCAATTCTTATCTATATTGCGCATATTGTTTTTGCTACATATTTTCCTGTTCAATGGGTTGTTGCTAATACACATATTGCACATCTTGCTATGGCTTTATGGGGTTGTATTTTTTGGATTGTAATTGCGTATGTTTTCTTCAAAAAACGAATTTTTCTTGTGCTCTAAGCACATTATGTAAATGTCGACTTTGAAAAATAGGAGAAGAAAAAAAGAATATTTAGAGAGAATAAAATGTTTTGTTTATCTTGATATACGTTTGTGACTTCGTCCGTTATTCTTCTGCGTTATTCTAAGAATTGTTTTGTTGTTGTTGTTGTGTGCTCTTCATCTTTATTTGAATAAAATTGATTTAATAGTTATCTATGATTAATGAGATAAAACTATTTTGCGCAGGGTGACTATTACAGAGGTAGTTCAATAAAATGTTCAGTTAATCAAAGTGGGTTTGTTTTTAGACGGGGTGTGGGTGTGCATGGTAGATATCAATACCCACACCCTTTTAACTTACAGTTTCTTTTTTCAGGATTCATCAATTGAGAGAAACTGAAAGAGAAAGAAAGCACTCATAGAAAAAAACACAATGCCTAGATATCCTCCTGGAAAAATAGTTACAGACTGTATTTCGATTAAATCGTTTCGATACAAACATATTTTCTTAAAACTAATTAGATATTTTTGAAAACCTACCGAGTTTTCTATCATCCTGCATATTTGTAAACTAAGGATAATAGAGAATTTCAAGTTCTTCCGGAATATGTAATTTTTGTTTTTAAAAGGTAATTCTACAGTGCTGAAAACATTGCTAAAACTAGTTTTGATGAGAGTGAACAAAACAAGTCTGTTGGGAGCTGAATATAAGGATGTCTTCGTTATATGTAATTTATTTTGCGAATATATAAGTGCAAATGAAAATATATTCATTGTGGGAGATAGAAAACTCCAGGGGCTTTCACAATATGCAGTTAGTTTTTAAAAAATATGTTTTTATAGTAATGATTTAACTGAAATACGGTCTGCAGTTATTTGTTTTCAGATTTCAATTTTAATTTTATGAATAAATTTCATATGAGTAGAGACTACGTAGAACAAAATATATATTATTTTCAGTATTTTTCTGTTTAATTTTCAGGCTATAGAATTGCATAAAAACAATTAGTCGATGCCATTAAAAGAGTTACTAGACTTATTTGAGTGTTTTCAAAATGATATATTTGTATATCAGCTGAGAGACTTGACGAGTAGTTTTAAGTTTAGCTATTTTGTTCAATTGAGGTTTTTAGAAATATTCATGACCAATGAGGGAAAAGATTCAGTTATATATTTATTGTTTGAATGGCATATCCAAAGTATCATTGTGCTACGTATTCACCAGGTCGTATTATTCTGTGTGTTTATCGTTAAGCTCAATCCTCTTTAATTAGAAAACAGAAAATTTTCACAAATTTATTCTAAACTTTCAATCTGTTTAAAAACGAAACAAGGATTAACTATTAATTACACGACAAAAAAAATTGAATATTCAATGAGATCTTCAGTCAGCTCATATAAGGTGTTCACGAAAGAAAGATTTGAGGATGAATCAAATCTATACAATTCAGAGATGATCATATCATTCATCTCATCTATCTCATTCAAGTGATCTTTCTATTGATATATTTTGCTGCATTCAAGTTATTACATAGCTATCGATCATATGAAAAGCAGAATGTACAGACTTTTCTGCGCGAGTACGTATTCTTTTTTCCATAGAATTTTCATAGATGTGTGAGCACCTATGATGCTACTTTTATGACCATGTAAACACTGATTCGATCTCAAGCATTCCTACGTTTTCCCGCATCATGTTTATCCCCACTTTTTAAACGATAACTCGTAACCATATTACCAATTCAAAAATGAGAAAAATGAACGTACTTTTCATCCCAAAGTTTGTGAAAGTATTTATTTTTCAAACTCAAGCGTTAAAACAGTGATTTTGTTGAAAAAGTACCCGTTATAGGAACTTAAATCTTTCTTGTTGAGTATTCCTGAAATTACGAGCGTTTGAATGTGGAGTTTGACGCGAAAGGATGTGATGGTGTGGATCTGGGATCTGGTTATGGGTATGGGTATGGCTGTTCGCACGAAGAATACCTAACTCTCACCCCATCAAGATTTTAGTTGATAGCAAAAGTCATGTCCAAGAAATGTTTTTACCATTTTATAGTTTGATTGGTAAATGCTGTCACCAATGCGTTATATTTGTGACAGATTGTCATCGATGAGAAATTTGCCTTTCTTTCAGGTAAGTGACATTCATTTCTGTGTAGCTTTGTGTGCAAAAAAATATATATTTTAACATCGCCGATATTTGATATTTACTTCTTTTTTATCTGAAGGAGGGCAAATGCAAGTGAAATTTCACAGTATCGGCACGTAATATTTTACTGTCAGGACGAAATATGGCGTCAACTACTGCGAAGAGATATTGTACAAAATGCAAAGAGAAAAGTCGGGCGGCTGCAGTTGCGTGCAATACATGCCAAAACTTGTTCTATGGGACGTGTATTGTCAATCGTCGTCTAGAGCTTGTCGCACAAATTGATGGAATCAATCGAGATCATAATTATCTTAAACAAGTATTGAATGACGAGTGTCAGGTAAATGCTATACTGTCTCGTATTAATGTTTGGGAGCAACAAATAATTCAGAGAATTCAAGTGGCTGTGCAGAATGTGCGCGAGTCAATCTTCAGGAATGGACCGATCGAAAGAATAATTTGTTGAAGTCAACACTCGACAAATTGACTAGCGAACCTGAATCAAGTCAAAAATTAAATAATTATTCATTTGATCAAAGTGAAAGAGATTCGCAATGAACACAAACCATCGACTCCTATTTGTGAACGATTTGACAAGGGGTCGGAGCTATTGCATTGTCAGAAGACAGTCTCAAAGCAGGACATTTAGACCACATTGACAATAATGGAAGCGCCTGTGGTGTCAATCTATAGTCGGTTGGAGTTCATCGTATTCGTTTTCAAATCATTGGAGATTGGGGTAGAAGTTTTTTTTTCGGGTATTGTTATCTCATTACAAGAGATAGTTTCACGAGCTTCTGAAACACCATCTGCTTATGGATGGTGGGACTTTGACGGTCTTATCGTCAATGGTCAAGGAGCAAGCTTTGGAACCATTGGCTTTATTTGAAACGATGACAAATTAACATTAACATTGAATTGCGACAATAGAAAAATTGAACTTGAACATCACCGAACGAACAAACGTGTTCATCTCTCTGTCGATCTTGAAATCTGTCCTTTTCCATGGAGATTTCTCGTAGGATTTGATTGGCGAGATGGATGTATACGCATTTTACATGAGAATTAACAATCTTCATTCTTTTCATATGAATATTAATAAAATAATATGTAAAGAAAAGATAGGGAAGTTAAAAAATAAAATAAAAATATATTTCTTGTATCTTTTCTTATTATCGTCCATAGCCGACAGAGTGATGTGAGGGTGACTGCACATAAAGTAATTCAAAACATTATACGACACGTTCCGACTATTGCTAAAGTTTATCTATCTCAAATAACAATTGCTATTATTTTTTGAAAAGGACATAAACGTATGGCGTTTGATCGTCTTAAAAGATTGATTTTTCCATAATAATTAAATATGAAAAATAAAACAATTTGATTCAGATATATCATTGAGATGTAAATATTTTTGCAGTGCAGGTTCCAATTAATAAGCTATATAATTCGGCATGATAGAAAAAGAAAAATGCAGAAAAAAGATAGTGAAAGAAGAAATATCAAAAGAAAAGTCCAGAAAGAGAGCATCCCGAAAGAAAAACATTGAAAGTACAAACGTCGAAAATAATCACCTAGAAGAAAAATAATGAATAAAAACAAAGGGCACGTTGGTTTCATTTTTCGGGTGAACGGTTGAAATTTTTGGAGGGAATGCTGGTTATTTACTCAATATCTTTTTTGCTCATCATTGATTTGAACTGAACATTTTCCCAAAAGATATGAGCATTCAATTCTCTACAAACTCACGTGTAACAGATTTTTTAAACTACAAAATGGCTAAATACTAAAACGAAGGAAAAAGGTCAAAAAATCTTCAACTTTCAAGCACTAAAGCCATTTTTTTTTGAAATTTCCTTCTCATGTGGGGATCTACAAAAAACTCAGTCTACCATGTTAAAGAGCATCAGATTCTGAGCAAGACTCATGTCTTCGAATTTCTTTTTCATTACAGAATGAGTAAAAAATTCTGCATCAATTTTTTCGCTTTTTCTAAAAAACACAACTGTCATGCCATGTTTTTGATGCTTGCACCAGAGATGGACGGGGCAGCTAAAAAGTCGCCTCGCCACCGCACCGCCACCGTCTATTTTTTAAACCTGACCCCGTCACCGCCCCGTCTCGCCCCGCCCCGCTTGTCAAATACATTTTAGGAAGCAAGTATTGATAGTCACCTTTCATAATTTTAATTTTATTGCATGCCATCAACAGGCATAACCCAAATATACATAGTTTCACAATAGAAAAATATAATAAAAATAGAAAGATACAATAATAATAATAAAAACAAAAACAAACGCTCAGCTTTTATTCACCGATCTCAAAAATAAAGCGTTATTCACTTGTTCAGGATTCAGTCGACCCAGGCAGACATGACCTTCAAAAAAGCGCGTTAATACGCGTTAACGATGGTGAACCCGTTAAAATGTGTACAATTTTTTCGGAATTTACGCGTTTTTTCTCGTCATTTATCATTCCGAATGAAACATAGCAGCTCTACTTTTTTATTTTTGTTATTTCTGTAGCTATCTGTTTTGTTTCCGTAAATCGTTCAATCAGTCATATATTTTCTACTTAATAATGCCATTTTTTACATTCTCTCATATCAGCAGTTCGTTTTTTTCCCGTAGCTTTTTCATTTTCCTTCAATGCAGAATATTAGCAATTTTTTAGAACTTATTGAATCTTCCCTTCGTATAGTCAGTTAAGAGCGCATGTCGGTGATAGATCGGTACTCTTATACGAGTAACTTGATAATGCTCAGTCTTTTAATTTTTAATCGTTCCATTGAGATTCTTGACTCTAATGTAGGTAAAACTAGTGCTTTTTATTTCGATCTAGTTCAACAACTAGAGTTCAATTGTAT